GAGATGAGCGTTGCCTGGTGTCTTAGTCGGATGAGTAGAAGTGGCATGTGTCACCAATGGGTAGAGCTGCTGCAAGCGGGTGTAAAACCACCGACGTTTATCGAAAGCAACACACTCATCCCTGAGACCGCAATCCAGCCCGGCACCCCGCCCCCTTCCCCCCACACCATGTTGAGGCGGGGGTTGTTGTCCAGCTGGCGCATGTCAGTGATCGCCTGGAATTGGTCGGTTCAAGGGAGATCAGACGGCCTTGCATGGGCCCAGTCGGGTGGCGGCCACCCAGCAGCTGAGCAGGATAGGTGCACCGGACTGCCAGCGTCGGTGCCGACCCCCCAGCCCGCTCCTTGCTGCAGGCATCCATCACAGAGGGCGGGGTGCTCAGGCGCCCCGGCAGCCGCCGCGCACGCCTGCACCGCGCCACGGGGGCGCGCGCGCAGCGTCGCGGGGCGGCTCCCTTGGCTTGCTGCGCGCGGCGCCGTGGGCCGGCCGGCCGCTGGGGCCGACCGAGCGGGTCCATTTGTGGGGAGATTGAGGCTGAGGCCTCTGTGGGCTGATACATCCGGGGATGGAGCCTGAATGACTCACCTGATAGCAGACCTGGGGAGAAGGAATGCGAGGGCCGGGCGCAGGCAGCAGCGTGCGGCAGTGAGGGTGACGGCGCAGATAATCGGTGTTGCACCGACAGCGGAGTGTACGAGGTCAGGCGTGCAGTTGGCGGGCGCGGCGCACCTTTGCAGGAATGGAGTGCTTGGGCATTGCGAACCTGCCAAAGCGTGGGAGGGCGGCGGGGCGGGGCGGAGCACCACTCGGCAGGCAGCCCACTGCCAGCGACGGGGACACAGGCGCGCACAGCGAGCAAGCGCATCGGTCGCGTCGCAACACAGCTCATTCGAGAGGATGGTACGTGTCAGCAAGAGGGCTGCAATCGCGCAAGCCCTCGATTTGACATGCGGCTGGATCCGAGGCGATGGCGGATTCGCGTGTGGCACGGGCGCCGGGGCAGGGCAGGGCAGGGCGGGGTGCGGCGGCGCCGGCGGGATGCTGGAGGCGCCGCCGGCAACAGGCTTGAGGGGCCGGCTCACTTGGGTAGAGCGTAGACATCGTAATCTTGACACATCAATCACGCATGAGACCACGCACGCGGCGCGGGAGGGGGAGGGTCACAAGGGGGTCACGAAGCCGAGGGCCACCTGTTGCATGTGTCGGGTGTCACGCCCCTTGCGAACCGATCAGCCGCCTCTTTCCCCGCGCGCGGCCGGGGCGGCCGAAACGCGCTGGCTGACGCGTGCTGACGTAAGCGGGGTTGGGAGGGGTGCGGGGCGCGGCCCTCACCGCTGGCGAACACCTGGATGTCCCCCTGGCCCAGGGCCTCCGCCACGAGGTCGTACCTGGGCGCCACGCACAGCACGCACAGCACGCACAGCACAACACGGCACGGCACGCACAGCACGCATGTCGTCACAGCGCGGGGGAGGGGGGGCGGCAGCGGGCGTTGGGGCGGGGTGCTTCGGGGAGCGCTCCGGATGGTGAGACGAGGAGTTATGGAGGTGGGTGGATGTGTGTTTGTGAGGAGGGTCGACCTTCGGCCGAGGTGCGTCGGTTAGAGGGGAGGGGGGGGCAGGCACCCGCCAACAACGGCTTGAGCGCCGGCCAACAGCACGGCTGTTGGGGGAACATCAGGGGCTCGCAGGCCGGAAATCTTTGGCAACTAGCAAGATACATCTTGGCATCGTGACGTGCTTGTCATGCCTGCCAGTTTAAGGCGCGGTTGGCGCCGCTCCCAGCTGCAATGCAGTGCAGCGCGCGTCAGTTGCGCAGCTTCTCATTCATTGTGTGAGCACACACGGCCTGCGCAAGTCCGTCTCACATTCAAAGTAATGCAAGGATTGATACGAGCCGTGCGGTGGGGCGAACGGTGCTCCTAGTACGGAGGAATTGCCCCACAAAGCTGGTCCGATAATCGTGCACCATTTTCCCACCGGCCGGTATCCAGCCTTTCCAGCTTGGGCTGCTCTCCATTCTCTGTAGCCATCTTGTAAGAACCTCTGATGGATCAAACGCGCGCTGCTGATCCGCGCGGACCCGTTGCCGAAAGGCGCAAATGTCACGCAAATGTCACCGGTGAAGCGCCGGCTGGCTTGAGAGACAATGATATGATAAAGTAAGAAATGCGGTATCTTACGGACGCAATCGCTCCATGATTGGTTCGAGGTCGTACCGAACACATAGCCTGCCTAGTCACCAGTCACCTCGCTGCGCTGGTGACTGCAAGCACGGACAAGGGCAAGCGGCAAATCACAAGGCCTGACAATTGTGGGTGTCTTTCTATATGTAGGATCACATAGCACCCTGTCAAGGCTGTTACCGCTTGCATCCTGGCCCCTTGGAAACGCCCAGCGCCTGCGAGGTGCGCAGCAAGAGCGTGGTCGCTGCTGCTTGCGGGGCCCAAAATGCTGCTCCTGCTGCTGCGCTCCTGAGAGCACATCGTTCATTGCAGTTTTAACACTCTTGTTCAATCACCTGATTAGCACCAGCTGCAAAGACAACCTGCTTCTCAACAAATGTATTGAGGGGTCAAAGAATGAGGCAGCAAATTGCCTGAATTTTTAACAACAAGTCCACTCCAACTCATGCGAAGCACATTGCAAACATGTGAGTTACTTGCTATGCTGCAATTGGGGCGCGTTTGAATCAACTGAAGCGTTTCTAGATCCACAGGAACCATTGCATGTAAGCCTGTCAAGTCAAATCAACACCTCTCTCCTGAAAACAAGCTGCTCTGTGGCCCTTGAACCCTGTTGTTCTCAGACACTTCACTTCGCAGCCAGGACAACCGACAAGGTGAGACACATGATTACATTTGGTGTCATTTCTTGCCAGTTTCATTGACGAGAGCAACGAGCAAGGCGCAGGCCCTGCAGCGCGTGTCCCACGGAACACACGGTTCCCTGAGAGAAATTTTGCTCACCCATGCCGGTCCGTGCGTCGTCCGCCTCCTGCCAGCCGTGCTGAGTGAAAAGTGCGTGAGCGTAACGCCGTTGCAGGCCTGAGCAGCACCACAGCATGTCTGAACACAATGAGCACACACAATCCTGCTGACATTTGCGAAGGAATATGCATGTACATATGCATATATATGCAGGGTCCACCTCATTGCTGATGTCTGTGCATGACGTTTGCAAAAAGTCTTGGACGCCAATGGGCCCGCTTCTTTCAATCATTTGTGGTTGCGGCGCCCTGCCGAGTAAGGACGCCGCCCCAGGGGCTGGCCAGGCCTGACTCATCAGCACTGGGCCGTCGTCTTGATCGTCTGCTGGCGCAGCAGCGTGGCGGCCTGGTCGCGGCGCGCGACCAGCTGCTGGTGCAGCTGCTTGAAGTGGGCCTCGCTGTGCTTCTCGATCTGGTCCAGCTGGCGCACGGCGTCCTGAGGGCATGATAGAGATGGAGCAAGGGGATCAAACGCGGAGACTTAGTGTGGTGCATGGCGCTCCGGTCGCGGCTGCGAGATGCGCGATTGACGGCCAGGTGGATGCCCATAAACTCATCCCCTCTGCCGCTTACCTCATGTGATGAGTGCTTGCCTTTCACCTCACACGCGCGAGTGCACACACACACACACACACATGTACACACACTTGTACACACACACACACAGTCAAACACACACACACACACACACACACACACACACACACACACACACACACACACACACTGTCACTCTCTCACCTGGATGGCCTCCAGCAGCTTTGAGATGAGCGTCATGGAGTGGTCAACACTGGGTTTTGGGGGGGGGGGGGGCGTGGGATTTGCTTTTGCGAAGGCAGAGAGTGATCCAACGTAATCGGTTGGTTATCGAGTTACGGCCCTGGGGTCTGCTGCAGCACTGTCAGCCTGCACATCACCGTCCAGCACAGGAAGCCAGCGCAGGGCGCGCCCCTTGGTGTCCAGCCACCCGCTTTGTGGGGCATGCACGTAGAGTCACATGCACGCAGGGTGTGGGGTACACATGCACCATGCGTGCGAAGCGCGAGGGCACGCGGTAACGTCTAGTGAAGGGGAGGGCAGGGGAGGTCCGCACACTCACCGTATGACTGCGCGCAGCAGCTTGATGTCAGTCGCGTGCTCTGACATGGTGTAGGCCGGCAGCATCCAACCTGTTCGTTGTTTTGGAGGAGGAGAGGAACGCGTGAAGCGGCTTTCATAGTAAGCGGATAGGGTTGCTTGAACATCGCGTCAAGACGCGCAATCAAGGTGCGTCGCAACAAGCTCACTGCCTGGTGCACGCCACGAGCTTCCTGCTTCTAAGGTAGAGCTCGTCGCCGCAAGCTGTGGTTGACACCCGCACACCGACGGCACCTGCGGCGATCCGCCGACCTGCGGCCCCACCTTTCTGGTGGAGAGTGTCAGAGAGCACGTACTCATCCCACAGGCGGGGCACCTAGGGTTGAGCAACGGCAGCAAACGGCGAATTCAGGGCAGTGAAGGGTTCAGCGGAAGACATAC